GTAATTTTTGCGTGACAGACTAACAAACATCCATTCATCCGTTTATCCATTCACAATTCAAACATTCGCGTTTATTATATTAGTAAGATATATAAAGATAAATAAAAGCCTAAAACCCAACAAATGGACAGTTAACATAAATTTTGTTTTAAACGCAAAATAGCTTACCGTTTCGGATAAGATGCTGTGGTACTTACAAGGCAAGTCATACATGAAAGTGCCATAATGTAGGGCGCGATTCACAAATGTATGATACTATTTGTATATCTCTGTTAACACTCTTATTACAATAGATTAGAGTTGATATTAAGGTTTTATAAATATAGGAATCTGAGACATATCTGCGAATAGTCTAATGCGACGAAATCGGTAAATTTAGCTGTCATGGTTTCATTTTTATTTTACAACTAGTTAATACGCATGACGATGAAAGTTAAGTATTAATAAAACATATCATATCTATTATGTGTAGAAAGACTTTTATTATAAAAAAGATACCAAATACTAAATTCACGAAGGAAACTGCACAATTTTTCATATTATTTGTACCTATACCTAAACCTATGTAATATTATCTATCTTATCTGTGCTAGAACATAGAGTCAAGAATTCAAATATTTCAGAAATACAATTGCTTAATTCTTATTGCAAATGGACATATTGTTTAAATCTATGTAATCCTACAATGACAGCTAATGTGTAAAATAAATTCATGTTTATTTATTTAAAATACTTTATATTTTTTCAAATTTTTGAAAAGATTACAATAATGAAAACAATATTTATCTAGGACTATAAAAATCAAACTAAACAAAGGCAGACCTTTCACCGGTTAAAATGAAATTGTTATTATCGTATTTTAAATTTATTGCAAAAGATAGTTGTCATATTATTATTTTACCACTACATTTAGATTGTTGTATGTATGTGGCAAAAATTAGTAAACAATTATATTATTAGAAGAAAATAAATTAATTTAGGTACTAATTAAAGTTATACAATCACATTCCGGCATGATTTAATGGGGTGGAAAGTACAACAGAAGCAATAGAAGTAATTAGCAAATATAAATTCAAGGTTTAACCTCTTTATTATACGCAAATTAAAATACTGTAGGTAAACATCGTAGGCACTCTGTGTATAGTAATAAGTAATGGTAATCCTATAAAAAGTTTCTGACTGTAAGTGGCAAGCATTACTATCCTACAGGTATGCCTTCACCTTTGTGTCTATTCGAAATTGAATTAAAAAGGATAGGAAAATTAATTGATGTAAGGCGTTGAAACAAATCCGTTTTAATTTCCTACGTAAAAATGTAGTGAGCACTTTTCTCCTTACGTACGGTGAACGGTTAACTTTCGGAATTACACGCATCTCGCCGAGATTTACCGCGCGACGTGACAGAGATGAGCTGGCCATCAACATTCATACATAAATTAGTTTGTTTACGTCAAATAAATTTCTTATTAATTAGATTAATTTATTTTAATTAAATGAACCAATTTAGAAACTCTTTTCGCAAAATATTAAGATATTTCAATGGCACAACTATAATTTATGGGATCGTAAAATTTATTAGCTATTAGGTGTCCTTTTTACGACTTACTCTATCAAATAAACGTGTGTTAGTAGTCGTATACGCCATATCTGCATAATAAAACTATTATATGTCTGTACATTGAAAATATTATAAAGTTGAGACTCTTGGCCAAGTAGTTCTCTACCCAGGATAACAGAGCCTAGACTTTTTAAAATGGTAAAATAAACAGTAATACACTAATCATCATTGCAATCATTCATGCATTCTTTATTTTAAAATATATGATATGTGCGTGTGTTTGTCACTTAAATCACACTCGTCCAAATCTAAATATTGGTGGATCGATTTTCATAAAATTTTGTGTGCATACTTCAATGTTTATAAGATAATGTACCTAATGATAATACTAAAGCCCTGTCAATTCACACTGCAGCATCTAGTTCCAAACTAAGGCAAGCTAAGGTTGCTTTGCAACTAATAAAAATACTTATCTAAATACATAACCCAAACACCCAGACAATCGCCAAGCGGTAATAAGGCGATGTGTATATGTATTACATCGTAGACATAGTATGAAGATGCATTAAATGTATAAATAGAATTTTTTATTAATATGTAAGAAAAGATATCTGGACTCTGATATAATTGGAACTGCATTCCAAAAAAATTGTCATCCATATATGGTAGATATAGCTTTGATATATAGACTGAAATATATTAGATATAAATATTATTAATATTTTAATTTAACTGAAACTATTTTTAACATTCATGGCAATTGCTGTATTCATATTAGTATTAAATTAAAGTAATAAAATATTAATATTAGACAGAGTCAAAAAATTCTATATGTCAATATTATGCATTAATCACGTATATATTGTCACTAAAACAAATAAAAAAATACAAATTGACATTTATAACCATTCGTAATATAATTAGTAAGTAAGAAAATAATAATATCAGAATGATGTCTACCTTTCCAACGCTCTGTTACGTTTGGTATTAATTATTACTAAATTATTATAATGTACACCTAGATATCTACTATAGACACATGTAATAACGCTAGGTCATAATATTTTTTCTATTAAAGAAAGTGATGACTTCAAACATTTATTCACTAGCCTCGTTTTTTTCAATTACTTCTCCAATCGTCAACCTTTTCACATTATTTATAATATCACAAACCAGTTTGATCCCACCAATAAGTAACGCAAAAATGGCGATATTATCGCACTATAGTGCTTTAAACTATAGACAAAACAAATTCTGAATTCGGTTAATCTACCTACACCTACATATACTAAAATATATAATATTATAGTTCAACAATTAAAGCCGTTGTTCAAAACTATATTAAGTCTATAAAAACATATACTTAACTTCCTTCATTATTATTACATAAAAACCGGTAGTGTTGTTTCTATAATACACAATTCGATATTTTCGGTCTATGAATTATAATTATACCATAACTAGTTTGCTATTTAAATTGACATTTATGCGTTTCATATTAAAATTAGGTCGTAGGTATTGACTTATTAAAGCGTAGTACCTATTACATAAGGAATTTTACATATGTTTAGCCAACTTTAAAATAATGCTTCTCTATTCGAGTAAAGTAATACTAACTTTGTGAACATGTTTAAATATTTTGAACCATGGATGCCAACCTTACGAGAATTATGAAGTACATTCATATTACATTTTTATACGAGATGTTAACCTATAATAATTGGTGAAATTATGATGATGTACGAGTTAAAATAGTCAAATTGAGCTAATATATAAGATTTTATAGGATTCTTTATTTTTTTGTATGGTAGAATCATTCTAAAAAGACAAACTTAAGTCCTTTCAGGTTTTATATAAAAAAATAAATAAAAACAAAACAGGCAACTCTATTCTGAGCCGACTTTGAAGCTTAATGTAGATGATATAATATCATTGCTTTTTTACACATTAACTCTAGAAAGGGTTCTTCTCTTACCAGTTAAAAAGGCTAACAATAATTTCATACCCACACATGCCTACCTACCTAATAAGTAAAGTTCAATCTTTATTGGATATTAGAGAAAGTTTTCTGTAGTCGTAGATTACTTAGACGATTACTTAATAAATTAATTTGAAGTAAATAAAAATAAATTAAATTGAAGATATATGAATTTGACATACTTATCTATCCATTCTTCTTTAAAATATATACCTATTGTCATAAGGTCGATATGACTGACTCTATATAATTAAATAATGTGCTGCGTACGTATTATTTGTTCCCTCTTATATTATTATACTATTCATAAAACTTACTTACTACTTAATATTCAGTAGTAGTAGTAGTAGTATGCTATTGCAACACAAATAAGCCAAGAAATTTCTCTCATGATCCTATATTGTGATCCTACCACTTGAGATGCAGTGAAGATCTTACAAGATCTTGCCTCATTTTTCTTTGTAGTTATATATATCTACATTTCTATGGTTTGAACATAGACTGATATCTACTACTACTACCACATACTAGTAGGACTCAGGCTAACCTCTATGCGGTAAAAACTGTCGTTTTTAATTCAGTGATGGTATCACTGGTGGTTCTGTTGGTTGCACAACTTATACCTTAACGACATAAGCGAAATCACCTTCAATCATTTCGATTACATATATAATAATGTAATATACGAATAGCCTTAATTATTGGCAGATAAATAACATAAAGTTTTGACTATAAACCTATAAGTACCTTAAAAACTTATTTGCACAAGAATACATTAAAACTATAATTGTATATGATAACATGAAACGATGAGTGTATGTACAATATGATCAGTAATAGAAAAACGATGGCACAAGTTGATTTACCGGTGTGCGCGTGCTCGAAGCAAAAAGCTCATAACTGTATATCCACAGTCACACCAGTAACTAGATTACATCTCTCATCAACGTAATAACACGCAAAGACCGCGATCCTATCTTTACTCATATTAATTTTTTTATCACAATTTATTTATATTAATTATCTATACATACTTACTACAAAAACTTGATGTTACCAGCAATATCCTCTGCTTTTTTTTTTAGATGAAAGATAACCCATAACCGATCTAATAATACAAGCTTTCATCACAGAAATTTCATTAAAAAACGGTGAGCCGTAGTGAAAAAGTTACATACAAACAGACAGACAGATATAGTTTCTCATTTATAATGTTATATAGTATAGAAGTATCGATGAATGAAATAGCTTATAGAGAACAATTTCTTATAGATATAATATTTTGTTAGACAAGATATCATTTTTCTGAAGTACAAAAAAAGATATAGGCATATATATAAATATGCTTTTAATCCTTTATGTACTGATATACTTATCTCAATCTTGTTCCAAGAAAAAGCATAAAAATAATTATATTTCTTTTGGGCGAAGTATGAAAATAAAGTTATTAAATTTAACACTTACCATAATAAAATCCGAAATCGTGCCACGATGTTATGGAAATCCGAAATTAACCTGTAAATCAGCAGTTAATGAACAATAAACCGAAACTTGTTTTGTAATAAACAAATTATATTTTTAGTTCGAAAGGACACGGATAATATCACTCAAGTAAAGGACACATCACTCCAGATTATTCCTTTCCAAATTCGAATTACGCGGTTAAAAGCCATAAACAAATTTTAGTCGTCATCTGGTGATTTATAACTTTAATTACTACGCGCGTGCCAGTGACATGCGTGTACAGTTCGTTCAGAAGTGTGTCGCGAGGGATGCGTGCTATGAACGCGCCGGACGGTGGTCAACTGCTTCAAGTTGATCTTACTGCATATGCGCGTTGGACCTTATTGCAAGTTATCTACTAGCCCATTTCTCATCTTAACAAAATTAAAATTTCTTTAGAAATAGGTAATATGCGGAAATAAATTTAAGAAATATTCAATACAAAAATTAATATAACGATTTTTTTATTAGTCACACATCGCATACAAACATACATACATTACACGTTTTAAACTTTCACCTACACGGAAAATCGTTAATGATTATCATATTATCATCAAAGGTACTCGTTATTAGGTGTTTAAAATAGGAACTAAAGTTAAACTTCAACAGTATAGAAACTTTCACTTTTTAAATTTTTAGACGCCAAAGACCATTTCTAATGAATGTGTGAGTGGTGCATGTCTATTCTTTAGAACGTTGAGTCATAAATTATAAATTAGTTTACTTAACATCAATCTCACTATCCTGTAATTTTCTACGTGATGTACCCATATTTATTCAGACGAAAAATATTTAATTTATATCTATTTGACTTTAAATAAATGATTGCGCTATAATAATGTTTTAAAATCTTTTCATATTGTTAAAATTATAATACATGCATTATTGGTTTATAAAGATGATTAATTTTAATTTTTCGTAACTCTAAAACGCATTTATGCCTAAACAAACTACTTAACTATTAACTTATGTATCAATTGTATTTATGAACTTTACTCTACAAATAACATGTCAGACCGAGTCCATCTGTTATTAACAAACCTATCACAGCTAAACTAATTAGAAAATTACGTCATGTACTTTAAATATAAAATGTCTTAACTCTAAAGACAAAATGTCTGCCCAAAACAACCGAATTTAAAATTTACTTTGCTAGATTACTTGCTGTTTTTTAGTGGATGATAATAGTATAGAGCATTTTTGTACGCTAACGGTATGATAGGATTAGAATGGAGGATGAAGTGAGTTCAGTTAGCTCCTAGCGTTGAATTTAGCATATATTACATTAATATTACGTTAGGTTTCCAGAAGAACGGCGAAGAGATTGATAACAGTCATTACCATCAATAGGTTCTTCATTTTCCTTTATTATTATTTATTACCTACAACTTTTATTAATTATAGACAACAGAGTAGTAAAATTAAGAAAAAAACAGTAAAGGACTAAGTACCCTTACGTACTAGTTTCTTAATCAATAGTATCGTTACGTTAAACAACGCATCATTTTCATTTAGACCATCATTATTCTCGTTTGTAATTCATAAAGTATGTTATTCTTCTTTTTAAACCCTGAATATTTAGCCTTGTTTGTTTACACCGCTACTACTGAAGCTATGCATTATGTATTTATAATACAATTTTTTTATGTACTCGTACTATGTAATATAAGTAAATGTCACCTGTAAATAAATTATTTTGACTTTAACTATGATTTTAGTAACTAGGGGACTTAAAATAAACACGTAACTACAGTAACCATCAGTAATTAGATAACTACTTACAGTAACAGTGTAACTGCAGTAACTAGTAACAACAAATATTCCAGTGTACTAGATATTTTTTACCCGGTACGTACAAATTGCTTAATTAAATATTAATTTATTGTTTACACGTACATTTATATGTTATGTATTTATAAATTCTAATACATTTACATTATAAATCCGGGGGGAATTAATACAAATAGATATGGATATATAAACGAAAGTTCGCTTTAAACCATTTCAGTTGTAACAATGTACTAGGATTAGTGAGTCTAATTAGTTGCTTAATTGGTTTTCATAGCAAGTCGTAGACTCCATTTATTCATTATGAGTTTCACTTGTGAAATTATTGTTATATACTTACTTATATAAGTATACATTAAATGCGCTCGATATATTCTGAGCAGCAAATCATCACGAGTCATAATATAGAAAAAATTAAAGTATGTGAATATATCTCTTTAAGATGACTTTAAAAGATCAGTCTGGCCGTTTGATATATATGATTTGCATGTGGCAAAGGCGATAATTTAAGTAATGTTAGGTGAAGCTATTTCATATCATGTATTCAAAAAATCTACATCAATTCTTGCACAAAAAATCCATTAATACTTATAATCGAATAACAAATACTATAAAGTACCTATACCTTTCTTGTTCCTTCCTGTTCCTGCAACTGTTATACAACAGGAATTAGAAATTAATAGTATGACATTTTTAAATTTCAACATTATTATTTATATGGTGAGAGAACAAGAAAGTACATTACGCCACGAATATTCAATAAAATTTATAACGAAAAAGATTGTTCAAGTAAAGAAATATTTAAATTTAAATTGAAAAGATGGTTACTCGAAAAAATGCAGTAGTATAAGTTCTATATTATAGTTAAATTGTAAATTAAGTATAAGTAAAAATGAGTGTCCTTATTCGCCAACAAACTGCAAAGCAGTTTGGCGATAATTGTAAAAACAAATTGTATATATGTAATACTTATAAATAAAAAAAATATTTCATTAGCGGCCTCAAAAATAAGTTTCACACTTCTAACTTCATAAATGTCGAATTTATAATACATAAAAACATTCATCCCCTATTTTATTTTACCCTCTTAAAGGTAACATTTTTACAAACTTTGATAGTGTTTTTATTTATATTAAACAACAACCTCAAAAATAAGTTTTAAGCTCCTAACTTCAAAAATGACGAATTTACATAAAAATTTCATCCCCTATTTTTTTTTACCCCCTTAAAGGTAACATTTTTATAAACTTTGAGGGCCTATTTATTTATATTTAATCAACAGCCTAAAAAATCAGTTTCTATCTTCAAAAATGACGAATTTACATAAAAACTTTTGCCCTCTATTTTATTTAACCCCCTAATGGTAATTTTATTACAAGAATGTCAGATTTATTTATATTTAATTAACAGCCTGAAAAATAAGTTTCAAGCTTCTAGCTTCAGCAATGACGAATTTACATATAAAAATTATCCCCTAATTTATTTAACCCCCTTAAGGATATTTTTTTCTAAAACTTTGTCATATTTATTTATATTTAATTAGCAGCCTCAAAAAAACGTTTCAGGCTTCTAGCTTAAAAATTGACGATTCTTCCATACAATCTTTCATTCCCAATTTCATCCCCTTACAACCCTTTTTTCGCATTCAAAAGTAGCATATGTCCTTTCTCAGGATCTAGACTATATGTGTACCAAATTTCATTTAAATCGGTTCAGTGGTTTTGGTGTGAAAGCGAGACACACAGACACACAGAGTTACTTTCGCATTTATAATATTAGTATGTAATATTATATTACTGTGATATTACTATGATACTGTGATATTAGTAAGTAAGGATATTAGTAAGCATGTGCTTGCACATGCTTACTAATATCCTTACTTAATATTAATATTCTTACTTATGCCTTGGCATAGAGCACTAATCATCTGGTGGACCGTCTGTTTCTTTCCCATTCCAGTTAAATAAAAAAAATATTCACCTTAATAAAAAAAAACAGATCTACGATCCATTCTTACCGGTACTGTGGTAAACGTTCGAGTCCATTATAGCGATATTTGTTTATCAACCGTTAGACACACATTCATTACTTACTGCTCTTTAATCATAGCTAGCCAGTATACCAACTACGATCATCGATATTAACGTTGATTAAGTTTCTAACTAGATCAACCGTATCTCTAATAATGCTTAAGATTTATTGCTCAAGTCGGACGTTAGTCATTATGTATTAGATACACCATACACCAGCGATCGCAGCTTGGATTGCGCGAATAATTTTTTTTGGTAGCGAAATGAGGAGGATATAGTTATTATAATTGTCTCTATTTCCTGCAAATAGTTCGAATAATAATCTTGGAATAAAGGTACCATAATTACTATTTGTGCATTTATACCACAGGTAGACTTTCTACAATTGTGAGAACTCTGTCTTGCCTCCGTAATTCTGCAGCCAGCAGCTTGATTTGGAAGCTGTGTTATGGTTTGCAGTGTATCTTCTGAGAGTAGGCTAGAAGATATAGAACAGTATACATATGTAATAATATATCCTTATTACAAATTATAGAAACATAACAACTTAGTTCTTAGAAATGTATATGTATGCTGTTAACTTAATTAAATTTGTATAAATGAATTATTATATAAAAAAAGAAATATAATTTCATAAGTGGTAGTACAGACGTTATCATATATTTTAAGGTGTCTATGATTACATTTCCTTAACATGCTATTCATTTATTAACGCGGAGGTTGCCGCTTTTCATGAAGTAGGTTAGGTTGTTTCTTATTTCAGCCACATAAAATACTATTATAATATATTTTTCACAAGTTTAGTATAGTAATGGTACAGTAATATAATGAAGTTATCTAACTTATTTCATTATGCTAGTTTGCCAGCATCGTAGTATATGAAAAAAAATTATGAGTTAAATCTTGCACACACCATCAAAAGCCAAATAAGATGCTAACAGGAGACTGATATCTTAAAGAATATCGCTCTATTTGAAATTCTACATTAATTACAGGAGTCCTTAATCTAAAAGAAACTCTACCAATCTCTAACACATGACCATAATCGAACTGTGTACATAACAATCTACAGCTAACATCACCAACTCTCGACGATCCTTGCTACGTATCCAAATATAAACGAAAAATATTTTCCATAATATGTAAACCACCGGGTTACCAGTGCATCATCAGACGTCATAACAGCCATATGTACTATTCATTCTGCCAATCGTCTCATTTTTGTGATTAGCACAAAAATGAGACGACATTTATTTTACTTAGATCTTACCTAAGTGGAGTGTTAACGATAATGTTTACAATGTGCACGTTAAACATTATCGTTAACACTCCACTTAGGTAAGATTATAGTAGTCAAATAAACTCACAGTAGGTATATATAGTGTATATTTTTAAAATTCTGTAGTTTACTGACATTTATTATGTTTCAATAATTTATTTTCCATAAAACCATACTGTATACTTAATATGAGATACGGAGATGTGTTTCTATGTAGATTTATTACCTCTGCACTATAAATTACAAAGTATATGTTCATAAATTATTTACGTTATCATGCTCTTTTATGGGTTTTGTTAATTTGATTACTATTAACAGCTAAAAGGATACTCATTTTACTTTATAAACAGTTAACTGGGTCCAATCAATAGATTAAAATTTTCATAAATATAGTTCCTAGGATTTGAGTTACTTATTTCTAATCTGTAATAAATTCTCAAGTAAATAAATAATACCTACAATAGTAACTGGTATTACTGTGTTGCCTTAGTTTCCTAGTTATATTAAATACCTATAATATACTCAAATACATTTTTAGTATATTAATCTAAGAGTTTTCTCCACAAAACTAACATAACAATTTTATATTACCTATTTTGCTTTACATTGATGAAATAAATAACCTGTTTTGTACAACTAAAGACATCTGCAAGCAGTTGCTTGAACTTTGTAGTAACTCGCAATCGTAATTTATTCACCAACTTTCTATCTATACGTACATACATCCACAAAGCATATCTATTAAAAGCTAATATCCACGTATAGATGGCGCTGTATCGTTTTTTAGAATATATGTGGCCTTATATAAATATATATATATATACCAGCTGGAGTATATCTATATATATTTAGTAGCGTAGTAGTAGTAGTAATATTTATATAAAAATCTATACAGTAGCTTCTGCGTGAAGAGTAACAAACATCCATCCCTACTCACAAACTTTCGCATTTATAATAAAATGTAGATTTTTTTTACTAGATATGGTCATTTAACACTGAATGTGGGTATATTCGTAACAGATATGCTAAAGTAGTTCTTGCTATATACACTCGATGTATATAGCAAGAACTACCTTAGCATATCTATTATGATGTACATATATCTACCATACAAAATGTATTAAGACGACTTTATCTAAAAATTAGCCTCTAATTTTTCAATGTTTTATTAGTTATTCTACTATTCTTTCCGAGGCAGACTTAATCCAGTTGGTCGAAGTTAATAAAAATCACATAATCCACTCCTGTGTAACTATGTAACATTATCTTATCTCTCCTTACTGCAACCCGACTTTGTTTAACTAGACTGTGACCTACCTAAATTACGTCAATGAAATAAAAAGAACGTGATTAAAATCTACATTTATTGAAATAATATAAAAATTGGATACATCGTTGTTTACTCGTTGAAACCTCACATTATTTTCATTATATACATAGGGTAATATTTTAATATAATACATTTACATTGCTGCGATTACTCTCAATTAAATTATAGTAAAAACAAGATAACATTAATGGCACGTATAGCCTACATTATTTTCATGATAAAATACTCTTCCACTACGGTGAATACTCTTGATTATAACTATTTACATAAAAAATATAGAAAGTAAAATAATAATTAATCAAAAATACAGTACCCAAAGAACAATTTTCCTAGTTGTGGGCAATGGAATAATGAATTTGACGTTGTAAACGTTTTACGACAACAAATGCATTTTATCAACGAAATTTAATATCTATCTACGATGCTGGTGATCACACAAAGAGATTAAAATAATACCGAGTATAGTATACAGCCTACTGATAAAATACATAACCATTTGAATAATCGAATTACATGTTTAATTTTCGACAACTCTTAAATTATCATATTACGTATTGTTCAACACACAACAATGAAAAACATCTGTTGCTTAGAAAAGAATCAAATTTTGTATTTTAAATATTATTTTTGTTTCGTAGAAGGAAATACAATACTAAACAGAATTAATTTAATTACTTATACTTTTCATACAGTACATAATCCATATGTGCTGTAAAATAATACATTTATTAAATAATGTTAAGATGGTATTATTATAGAAATTTAATAGAAATTAGTCCTTTTAAAATAAAACCGACAAAAATAATAATATATTGAAGTCCAAATTCGATTCTTTTTGTAGCAATTGCAATAAATTCTAAATCTTCTCAAACAACTACATGAAACCATAAAATTTTTAGAGCTTTATTCACTATTCTTAACTCTAGAATGGCTTTTGAAGATTGAAGTGGTTTCTGTAATGTAATGCAATAATCCGTAAGTAAAAAATATATAGGTATATACAATAATAATCAAGGAAGACTCAAATATAGGACAAGCGACACCTATGCATAAAAATGCATTATTATTTACATAATAAGGCATTTTTTATTTAAATGAATATAAAATATTTACATCACATAATGACTTCACCCGATTAATAACAATAAAAGAATTACCTAGTCTTACAAATTGTATTTTAAAGTTCTGCCTAATTTAACGAACATGACGATAGAACTTAAATTAATTATGTTCTATTTTTGTACAATAAAGTCTTCGTTAAATGGCTAAGTAGCTACTTTTATCCATAGAAGAATTTTTTTGACTTCATCGTGAGATGTATAAATTTAATTCATAGACAATTATATTTTTTATATTTTCGGAAGTATTAGAATAAAATGGCCAAATTAATCAATATTAAATATTTAAAAATAAATTATTAATTTTAAAACAAATATGAACATTGAAGACACGGATTAATATTATTATTATAAATAACTACAGATCATAGCCACCTTAGATTCATACCCAATTGAAACAATTACATATACATAGTACCATGACAAGTAGACTCTCTAGTAGACTCCCCGCCATCTAAGAAAACATTGTAGTTAACACCTGATGACTTCGCTACAATGGGCTCAACTAACTTCAAGCTCATGCTATATATAATCTTACCACTGGCACCTACAGGGTATAACTACAACCCTACTCACACGCGGGTGCGCCATTCCTTTACCATCTATTAAAAATAAGCACAACATATTCAAATGTTACCAACGTCTACCTTATTCATCGAATCAATAATACTTTATGGATGCAATTTTCTGTTATGTAAAACCGCTGTTTATAAAACGCTGTTTTTTTAGTTTTCTTTTATACCTCAATAATTGCATATATTCAAGGACAACAGTTATTTTAACATATCAATGGGTATAACTATTATTATAATATATCTTCGTTATTCTTATCCATTAATTATTTTCTTCTTGACAAACAAATTTTCAATAATCAATGTTGTATTAGCAAGTGAACATTATTTCTGTGTACATATTTTGAAGTTATTACATAGAAGGGGTCACTGAGAATCTAAAAACAGACAAGTAAGTTACTTAGTTTAATATGTATCCACGTATTCGTTGTATTATGGAAATTGATTCAGTTATTTATAAATACGTACATCATTTTATGTCTAGACATTCCTTTGCATAATATTCATAATTCACATACAATAAGTTTGAGATATTTTATCAGTTATGCATCGAGCATCAAATAGTAGGCCCTTTAATTTCTACAACAAACTCTGTTGTGTTGTGGTAGACATATTGATGTACGCGATGAACTACCAGGTTGTAGTCTTGGTTAGACCATACTATCAAACCAAGTTTTCTGAATCGGCTTGAAGTTGGGTGCATTGAGATACACCCACCTCAGAATATCGCTGTAGTATCAGGCATTTGATGGAATCCAGCGCCATTCATTTATTTATTTCGTATAGAGCTAATCACATATGTTTATTTATGTTCTATATATTTACGAAATAAATATTAATAAGTACAAATCATTTGTTATATTTTTATCAGATCGTTAAAATAACTAGCTAAAATTATAAAATGAAATTTGATATAGTAAAATATAAAGTTATGTACACTTCTTGAAATAATACAACATCTAGATCCGAATTCTGGTAAAGTGAAAACGATAGCGATTAATTTAAAAGTAAAAAAGTGCATGACGACTTATAAATATTTATTTAGCCTGATCAGAAGCTTAATTATATAAAATTAACAACAATTCTCAATTGTTTTAAACGTATTAAAATCAATAAATATGATTTTTTTTTATAAGGCATTTGAGAATTTCAGACTAGAAAGCGAATAGACGAATTTGACAGGTCCACTGCCGTCTCTAGTCGTATAATAAGACGCTAAAAACATCGTCGAAAGAATGGAAACTCAAAAATAATATTATATGAGTAAATATCCAATTTCTATAATGTCTACAACTATCTGAAATGGTCCGTACATAATTACAAATTTGTAATTTTTAACTTATTTCAAATGACAATTATTAATAATAGCATTATATAAGCCGCATGGATGTGGACATATCCTATCATTAATATTGCTTTTGCGATTTTCTACGAACCATTTGAGAGTTCCAGATGAAAGCTACGATGCACGGCTACTGAGATATAGTCCTTACATAAATACAAATTGTAGGTTGAAATCTATTCCAAATGATAATTGTTAGTTACAGCGTTACATAATTAAGCTTCCAGATCGCGATCAGATCACACTTAGCACAAGAATTCGGACACTATACCAAGTAAATTTATAACTACACTACAATCGACTGTATTTAAACAAGTTCATGACTAATTGTAAAATTAAACATAATTCGATTTTGTAATCGACATGTGTGATTATTTATGCATCTACAACAATGCATTTAACATCGCTACGTAAGTTTGGACTACCAGCGAAAGAGAAGTATTTGGTTGATGTTCTATTCGTAATTTCTATTCAGGTTGCGATAATTTGAGCTTTCAGTGCCGCAAAAAGTCATCTCGTCAGAGAAATGGCACAGCGGCTGCCTAGGCATTGTGTTATCTGTAAATTAAAAAAATAAAACATTTAAAACCAAATCTGTTTATTATACCATTTTATTGTCGGAGTAAATTGCCTTGTCGGTCAACAATACATAATTTCAGGCCAATTTACTTCTGAATTTATTTTTTCTACTTCTGAATATATTTTTTAAATCTCAAGATACCTGAAAAGTTAATATTGGAGTAGAGTGGTTTACATACTCCTACTTACACTCCACTTATCACAACCAAAGGGCGTAATTTAAAATGTAATCATCACCAAATATTTTTATTTGGTTACCAGTTACAATCAGGTGGGACGTCAGATTGTTGCTATTTCAATAAAAATAAAAAAAGAATGTTAATAATGTAATTACCTGGGCGCATGTCTTGCTCTAAGCAGATGTGGTGGCACTTCCCGTCTCTCCACCTCGTCAGGGCCGAGCTGCAACCCGGCCACTAACTGCATGATCTCTCGCTCCTTCTTCAGTTCCTCACGACCGGATTCCACCTGGAAAATATTATAAATAAATATAAATGTTTTTGTATAAATAATTGATTTAATAATCGATTCACATTGTGTCATAGGAACAAATTTGGACATAGAGAGAAGACCTATAAGTATTCGCAGACATTGAAAATAAAACCTACTATTTAAATAGACATTAGATATATCTGTAAATTGCGTCAATTCAAATACGCGAAATCTTGGCTATTACTATGGACGACAGACACAACTAAGTATCAATGACCTCTAATCCTTATTCACTATTTCATTCGTTTTCATACTCATTTTATATATACCTGTGCACAATTTACAATCGCTATATTATAATACATCATAGATCAGTCTAAAGTCCACAGTATGTTTTAAAAGCATTAATGTGAACTATTTCTTTTATTCTTTCAAAAAAATTAAAAACTCATATTAATGTCATATTGTACAGGCAATATAATACAATACGTGCATGTATATATAACATGCCGCATTCGAAATAGTTAGCAGCTTAACTACGTGAGCGTATTTCATACATTGCATGCATTTTTCTGTACACGCATACCTTCTCGCATGCCGACTTATCTCAGTTATCATAAAACGAGTCGCACGTAAAATTGCCAATCGCTAAACGCATAAATGCGTTGATTACGCTTTACGAGTCAAAGCACGTAATACTTACGCAACTTGCCACGAAGCAAGACCGTAATGCGAATGATATAAACCGCAATGATCGTTTCCTCATTGAAAAAAAACGATCATCACAATTAACATTAATTGGCCAGATAAAATTCAAGCGTGGAATGTCCCAAACCAACTGCTAATACATATGATCATGAATAAAATGAATATTTTGTTTGTTGAATTGAATGATTTAATCTCAGCAACTACAGGTTAGAAAAAAAAATCTTTGTGTTGGATAGCTTACTTTCGATGAACGCTATGCAATATCATACTACGACCAAGAGAAGAGGAAGAGCAGCAATGAAAAATTATGAAAAACGATGAAAATGTAACGCAAGCGAAGTTATACGATTCAGCTAGTAATGCATAGTATATAAAGATAATGAATGGTGCAAATGAATAATCAGTATATTTATTTAGTCGAGTTCTTTCTGTATTGGAAAAAAATATTTAGCTTACTTTAGCGTTTATTATCGAAGTCCTGCTGTCATTACGATTTGTCTACTTTCTAAATCAAATGAACACATTCTATTACATTTTTTAGCGAAATAAAATGTTGAATAATAGAACCTGTTGCATAAATCTACAACACATAAATCTATTACGTATAATAACTTCAAGTTTTCAAAAACATATTTTGTAATTTAAGTACATTAGACGCTCTTATTATGCTTTCTATTAATCTATCGATAGTATCGTATACTAGTAGTTTTCAAAAACATTAAATACCTATTTAGATGATAAACCTTTGTTAATCGTTTTATATACCTAACTTATTATTGTGTATGTGCTCTAATTTTAGCTTCCATTTACTATATACGTTAGACGGTTCTGTGTGCACATAAAACTAACCTGATTTTTATGACACAATAAATAACTTGTAAATATTTGTTTTTGAATAAATATATAACTAAACTGACTCATTAGTATTGGAAACACCGAATACACTACGAAACTAACCTGAGATTGTGGTATCACCTCTGACCACGTTGAAGTAAAATATACAAACCCAGCAAAAAGTGAATACGTCAATTATTTCTAGAAAATATAACATATTCGTGGGATTCCTTGAAATACTTCATACTGCGAAATGCAACACTAACCAAATGTCCAATGAAATGAAAGTTACCTACTTTGTGAGTCAAGGAAGGCATTTCCTGTCCCTACCTATCTCATAAATGGCTATTTCTCTTCATTCCATGATCATTTTGAATATCTATTATAAATATGTGAATAATTATATATAAATATGTAATTTAAACAGTTCAAATATTTGTCACTATACCATCATTTTCACATCCAAAAAACTATAGATATCCTCTACGGCACCAACTGATTGCAGTAGATAATGTATTGTAGTAGGTATTATTTTAATGAAAAAAAAGAGAAAATTATATAATAATACAATTTTGTTAAATAATTTTCTATTTTATCTATAGTAGTAATATAAAAGAGACATAAAATTTGTAAGGTTATAATTTCTGGATTTGATAATCCAATTTTGAAATTTTATTTTAGTGTTACGTAGCTATAGGCTATACGATATCACTCTATCATAGCGTCAGAATCAATAGAAGCAGAGCTGCAATGAAAAGTGTTGCAAAAGCAGTGAAAATGGGACACGAAATTGCGCAGGTCAACTAGTTAATAATAACTCAGTATATTTAACTTTATTATAATTATTCAGTAAGTACACTAGAATTCTCATGGATTTAATGCTTTATTTTGTCGTTTGATTATTATCAATAATAATAATAATATCACAGAACAATTCACCCAGCGCCATCTAGGTTTAAGCTAAGCAGCAGAGTTTATGTTATGGATACTGGCCAATTAATAGATATAAATATATAGATACATATTGTTTTAAAATACATATTATGCATAGAATATATGACGTCAACAAATTACACGCAAATGTAACAGGCATCATTATATAATCAAGTGATGTTTCGTTAACATCCTATGGTAAAAAAAACACAATAATTATAATTTTATGAAGATGAACGTAACACTACGACTTGGCATTGACTGCATCATAACCATATGATTAATCTCCGCAAATTCTAAAAATATTACGAATCTAACCTTCAATCTTTAAATGTTATGAACCCTATTAACTGATAATAGTTCTCTGGTTAGTTAGTTATTAAGGAATTACTGCGATAAATCCAATTACAGACACTTTATGTAATCCATATTTCATAGACAATGAATAAAGTTAAAACAAAACAATGAACGAACAATCAAACATAATAGTAAACATAATCAAATTTCAATCTATAATGAAGTATGGAACTAACGCAGATCCCACACATCCAATAACATGACTTGAAGGTCCGGTGACATTTTATAACAAATCTCGTATTTATGTATCCGTGTTCCCGTGGTAATTTATGGAAATCCTTATTACAAATATTCAAAATAACCCTACAGGTTGAGACACTCATGGTAACCATCTATTTTGTGATTCCTGGACACTATGCCTCTATACTCTGTAACCTGTTATTTCACTATAATACTCACTTCTCAGACAGGAGCATAGTTTGCCAAGCAATATGGTTGACGGCAGAAATAGGTACTTTTGAAGGATCCAAGCAGACTTTGTAAAACTTAGTACGAAATCTTTGCTAACGTTCTGGTTTTAATTCGAGAATACATATAAATATGTATTTGTGTGAAAATGAATCATTACCAAGCTAGTGATGCGAGTATATTTGAACGAATGTCATACTTTCTACCGGCTACGTAAATATTGTATGTTTGAACTTCAGTTACGTACCTACCGTGTCTACTGATCACTATGCACAACAGCAACGCCACAACTAACTTGTTTTAATGAAGACTACTAATAATGTAGACTGCACTTTCGTTGCATATCACAAAATTTCTAATAGATCATTTATTATTAACAATAATAAAATCTACGTAAACTCTTTTACGAAATGTGGAGTTTCCTTCAGAGAGAATTCAAATATTGAGCTTAATTTCAAATGAAATTCACTACACATATTTTATCTCCGTCTAGAATTTATTACATTTTATGACACATATCTAATTTGTACTACAGACTTAAAAATATTACTGTTACATAAACGTAGGTGCCTACGTGTTTCTAACAGTAATATTTGTAACATAAATCATTTATTGAGAGAAAATATTATGTATACCTAATTACACAAAGTGTTTGGTAACACACATATTGCATAAAAATATGCAAAATCATCCATTAATACTGTTGTCGTTTTGATATTATTTGTATATGTTAATATATTTTTACGGTCATATTTACGAGTAGGTACCTATATTCGTAATAGAAACTGGTTTTCATGTTTTGAGTATATTCTTGGATATTTTGACAGCACTGACAAAACATACGAATTACGGTAAGCAGGTGGTATTTCCAAATTTTATCACTACTTATGTAAAACAGCTGAGATATAGTGCCCAACTGGTTACGTGAAGGAATGGAATCGCAAATTCACACTAATGTAAAATTATATAAAGCATCTTATCTACATTAATTTTAGTGTTTATTAATAATTGTTTTACTTTAAGAAGTAGCTATACTTGCCGCTCCTTTTTCGTATTCCGTCCGGGACCATAGTCCCCTCTAACATCTATTCACCTCTATGCCCCTCTATCCACTGAGTATTAATGTTGTAGATTTCGTCTACGCTCTAGTTTGCGAGAACTCTCACAAGGACGAATTACGCTACGAGATTCTTCACTCTTTAGCTCGTTGATAAAACACTCAAAATAACGCATCTCAAAGCAACAAGAATAACAATAAACCGAAGAGCAATAACATACCATAGGTAAACCCATAACTATGGGTTTACAACCTAAAAAACACTTTATAAGCTTAGAGGTTGGCTAGTCTTTCTCTGGCCAGAGCCGGGAGTGAACGAACTTATTTGCAAGAGAGCTACAAGATAAATTGAGTCACATAACTATTACGTTTTACTCTGTACTTTCTGTCAAGACAGATACGACTTCTTACGTTTCGTTGTTTTAATAAGTAATTGTTACGTAATAAACTGGATATAAACGATATAATATCCTGACATTCCGGATATTTTTCATTCACGGCTTTTTACTCAGTAGGTACCAAATTATTTTTACAATAATTACGAAACGATGAAGGAGACTTAAGGAAATGTTGTACGACTTTCATAACTACATTCACTTTATAAAATAGTGTAGATAATATTAATTTTTCTAACAAAATATTTTCTGTGTAATTCATTTATTTCAGCCTAAATAGGTTAATCTATATTGCCATACTAATGCATTTAAAATTTGCTACTTTTGTATAAAAATTACCATAA